CACATATATATATATATAACCTAGGCCAACAAGGCTGCAATAATAGTATGACAACTATCCAGAAGGCCGATAGGGCCATACAAAAAAAATATACATGCAATGACCGCTAGTCTGCAAGCCTCTAGGAGTGTAAGACAATCTCAACAGGCCGGGACAAGGCCCCCGACATGCCCAAAACTACTCATATACATTTGTAATAGTACCTATGGACTCAAAGTCAGCAACTCCGAAGAAGTGGAGTGCGAAACCCAACGTTGATCCTGGGGGTCCTACTGAGGAGGCACGCCACTCTGTCTATCCGAACCTGTGGGAATGAACACAACGCATAAAAAGGCGTCAGTACGAAATATGTACTGAATATGTAGGGCGACAAGTGTAACATGAAAAATGTAATTATTAAGATAAGAGATATAGAGACAATTTGAATTCTGAAACTAGCCTCGATAGGGAACTAAAATTCAACATGGATATAAATGTATGCTCGTGGAATTGTCGCTCACTATCGCTACTTATAATATATTACATTATATAATAATAAATCCCTCTGTGGGGCTACAATATCCATAACATACCCGGCCATAATAAAGGCTCGGTAAAATCGTACCTGGCCACGTGAAGCTCGGTAATCCCAACTGATCAGTGGTTACACAATAGGTGTCATACCCGACCGTCAATAGTGCGGCTCGATAATGAAAGTAAATACATACATACATTAAATCATGAATTATATAAGTGCAATGCAAAACTAACCTCAAAAGACGTATTCTAAGAAGAGTCGAAGTGGCAAATCATCATTATTCCCCGACTATCATGGTTGTAGCTAAAATATTTAATTTTTCAACTACGAGCCAACAAGTACTAAGAACATGAGAGTTATGTATTATCAGTACCTTTGAAGTAAGTGTTACTTATTCATGATTTATATGAACGTCAAAAGGAGAACGAGTAAAAAGGCTCTAGTTCTTTTTAAGCAAGGAACAAGGAAAACCGAGAATTCATAGATATTCTCTAAAGTAAGCAATCTATGAGAAAGGATCAGGTCTAAGCATCTTTATAAGTTGAAGGTGAAATAACTCAAATCCGATGAAACAATTCGATAAACGTGTATTCAAATTCTAGTCATGCCAAAAAGTATAGCGAAAGCCCTACATACCTTGTCAATGGAGTTATATACGGTTTTCGAGACCTCGAAATCCTTAGGAATGATTTCCTACATAATTTGAACCATTCAATATCAAATTCAAGCTCATATCTTATATAATTCTTCATTTAGACATTTAAGCGAACAACTTACGGGCATGAATTTGTAGACTCTTTTGTAGCTTAATTTTCCCCCAACACACCACCAAATTTTTACTTTACTACATCTCCTCATCGACACGA